ATGGGAGTGGAGATCCGGAGGATAACAGGTTGGAGAGAGGAAGCGCGGTACTTCCACTTTTTCCCTGTTCTGAGTTTTATTTCCTTCCCTGCACGGCGAAGAGAGCAATCGGTCTCGAGGGAGCCTTGTAAGGGGGAAAATACACTTGGGTGGGTGGGGTTACATTTTCTGGAAGGACGGTCCGAAAGAAAGAGCGATGCAAGCGGGAGAACGGGGAGAGGGGAGCAGAAACTCCCCCCCCCCCCAGGAAACCTCGGGAGCGAAGCTGGGGAAGAATAAAAGCGGCGAGGGAGCAAAGCACCCGCTTCGCAGTCTCCGAAGTGGCCAAGGTTGGCCTGAAGCAGCTGCGGGCGGGAAGGACAGAAGGGGAGAGACCCAGCTGCAATCGGATTAGCTGCCTGGCCTTAATTTTGTTCGGGGGGGGGGATACCTGGACAATTAAAGGAAGGATGCAATTCAGAGACAATTACAGGAAAGGAAGGATGAGAATGAAAGATAGAAAGTCGGTAAGAAAAAGGAAAGAAGGAAGGAATTAAAGAGGGAAAGGAGAAGAAGAAAAGAGTTGGAGGGAGCAAGTAGGAAGGAAATTAAGGAAGGAAGGTAAGAAGAAAGGAAATTAAAGAGAGAAATTAGGAAACAGGAAGAGAAGGAAGGAAGTCAAAGAGAGAAAGGAGAAGAAGCGAGACGGCTGAAGGGAGGGAGTAAGCAGGAAGGAAGGAAAGAAGGAAGGAAGGAGGGAAGGAAGGAAGAAAGAAAGGAAGGAAAAGAGGGAAAGGAAAAGAATCTAGAGGGTTGGCGGGGTGGGGGAGAAAGTAGGAAAGAAAAGGAAGGAAGAAGAAGGAAATTCAAGAGAGGAAGGAAAGATGGGCGGAAGGGGCGTAATTAAAGCAATTCAAGAGGGGAAGGGAGGAAGGAAAGAAGGAAAAGAGAGGAGGGGGGAAAGAAACGGGAGGGGGGGGGAATGGGAGCCAGGGAGCCTCAGATTTTAATCCAGGCTCTCTGGCTGGCAGCCCGCACGGATCTGCCACTTAACCTGCCGGCTGCTTCTCTCCTTGGGCATTTATGCGTCCATTAAACCAGGGTCTAGGAACAGCCAGCTCTCCACTCCGAGCACTTCTTCCCCTCCCCCGGGAGAAATGGTTCCTAAGCAGGATTAAACATCTCAGCCTGACAAGTGACGAGATAAATTGAAATTAATTAGGCTCCGCTCGCGCCCGCCTTCGGTGGCGGGGGGCGGGGGTAGGAAGGAGGCGAGGCGACCGGGTCGCTGCGGCCGGGCTGTCCGGGAGCGGCTTCGGGTTAGGCCGACCAACCTGCAGAGCAGGTAACATCAAAGCGAATTTGGCCCGGGAAGTGTCGAGGTGGGGAGGGCGTCGATTCTGCCAGCCCTTTTCCATCCGACTTTCACTGGGCCAGCAAACGGCGGCTTCTCCTGGCAGCTCCAGTCGCCCCGAAGGATACGCCTTGCCCTCCTCCCTTTATTAAATTTATTTTTTGTTTATTTTGCCTTCGAGAAGGGCCGAGCAGGAAGGCCAGGAGAACTGTAAAAAATATTCGGCTTGAAAATAATATGTGTCTGTCTGTCTGTCTGTCTCTCTCTCTGTATAGACAGCAAAATAATCACTCAGACAAGGGAAGAGAGAATTTAGTGGGAAGGCAGGCAGGAAAGGAGGAAGGAAGGAGAGATGGAGGTAAGCAGGAAGGAGGAAAAAGGAAAAAAAGAAGGAAGGTGGATAAGGGAGGATAGACAAAGAGGGAGGGAAGGAAGGAAGGAGAGACTGATGGAGATAGAGAGTGGGAAGGAGGAAAATGAGAAGGAAGAGGAAGAAAGGTGGAAAAGGGAGAAATGACAAAGAGAGGGATGGAGGGAGAGAGGGAAGGAAGGAGATTGAAGAGGGAAAGGAGAAGAAGTAAGAGAGCTGAAGGGATGGAGTTAGCCAAAAGGAAGGAAATAAAGGAAGGGAATTAAAGGGAAGGAAGGAAGGAAGGAAGGAAGGAAGGAAGGAAGGAAGGAAGAGGTATTTGGATCAAAGTGAAAAGAAAGAGGTGTTTGTGTGAAAGGGAGTGGAATGGGTTGACTCTGTAAAGGACCTGCCTGCTGACTAGCATGTTCCAATTCTGGAGATGACAGCCAGCCCCAATTGCAGAAGCTTATTTCCAGAACCCGCCACACTGTTGAACTGGGAAAGACTCCTTAGCAGGATGCTGATAGAAGATTTCCATAAAATCCCCTAGCCTCCCTTTTGATCTTCCCAATTAACTGAGAACTTATGGAAATAGATGGATGAGAAGATAGGGAGACGCCAAACATGGAAATATCTGGTCTTCCAAGCTGCTGGATTGAAACTCCCCCTCATCTCTCACCGTTGACCAGGCTGGCTAATGCTAATGGCAGGCCAACTGGAAGCCACCTTGGGTGTTGCAATGGAGAAGAAGGATGGGAGGCTGAAGTCCAAAAGACTGTGAAGACATCTATTCCCACTTTAGCAGAACACCTTCCACAGCGCTTTACCTGCAAGGTGAACGCCCTTGTCTTTTCTCAGATTGGGGATTGAGGTGTGATGTTCTGGATCCCAGATCTGGGGGCAAAAATCAGTGGAAAAAGAAAAAAAGGGAGGAGAGAGGGGAGGGGAGGGGAGGGGGAAGAAGGAAAGAGAGTGAGAGCAAGCCTACTGCAATGGATTTAAAACAAAAACAAGGAGCCTAAGGGTAAAAGTCATTTATTGGGTGTTAACAGCTAGTGGACTTTCATAGAAACCCCATAATCCACAGGAAGCTTTCCTTAAAAGGGATGGTGGTGATGGTGATGGGGGGGGGGGCAAGAGAGCAGTTTTTGTTGGGAGGCTGGAACGTCTCACCTGTTCCTTCCAGGTGAGACTGTCAAAGCCCTCCAGAAATGACCAGTGGAGACAGGCAGTCTAGGTGAAAGGAGCAGGTTAACCTGGAAAGACCCTCCAGGCAGAAGGAGATCCAACAGATATGCAAGTCTGTCTCTCTCTCTCTCTCTCTCTCTCTCTCTCTCTCTCTCTCTCTCTCTCTCTCTCTCTCTCTCTCTCTCTCTCTTTTCTCTCTCTTCTCTCTCTCTTTTCTTTCTTTTCTCTCTCTTCTCTTTCTCTTCTCTCTCTCTTCTCATTTCTCTCTCTCTTTTCTCTCCTCTCTCTCTCTGTCTCTTTTCTCCTTTCTCTGTCTCTATTCTCTCTTTTCTCTCTCTTCTCTCTTTCTCTCTATTTTTCTCCCTCTCTCTTCTCTCTCCCTCCCTTCCCAACTTTTTTTTAACTCTCACTGATGCTGCTTGCTTCTCCTTGGAAAGCTAGAGTTCCACCTTCCCATCAACTCCTGTCCTCCTTAGTATCAAGGGACACCGGAGGGTAGAGAATCTCCTGAACTTGCAGCCTCTTGGCCCTCAAGCCAACCTCAGCAAGTCTGCCACTCAGTGGTTGGAGGAGGGGTCTGGCTTCCCTGCCTCTCTTCTCCACCCTTGTTGACAGATGTTATCCAGATGCCCCAGGAATTCGGGCTAGGAAAATCACCTTTCTCGTGGTGGGAGAAAGGAAGGAAGAGACGAATAGATTCTCCTTCCCCTAAGGGCCTGCTACCACCCCCAGCCCCATTTCTCTCCAGCTTGTAGCAACCCGCTTAGCTGGCCTCCACTCCGATTTTACTGAGCCTTGGGCCCTCCAGCTCCTGCTTGAAAAAGATCCCGCAATTTTTCCCCGTCTTTTGGACCCCGCGAGAGAGCCTTGAGAAAATGCACAAGACAAAGAGCTGATAGAACAGTGTTTCTCAACCTTGACAATTTTAAGGCATGAGGACTTCAACTCCCAGAATTCCACAGCCAGCAACGCTGGCTGTGGAATTCTAGGAGTTGAAGTCCACATGCCTTAAAATTGTCAAATTTGGGAAACACTGTGATAGAATGAGAGACAGGGACTCTGCCTGCCTTCTGCAGATTCATCCGTTGAGTGGATTCCACACGAGCTTTACCCAGAAAATCTTGTTAAACTGCTGAGCCATGTTTATTCTCAATTCCATATTTTTTTTTCTACGACCTCAGCACTGGCTGTGTTTCTCTAATTTGATTTAGAATTAGAATCTGAATTCACCCCTGTTCTGGGTTTTTGTACAAGTCCTTGAACTGATAGAAGAGTGCTCTCTGAGCTTGGTGGTTTTCTGGCAGAAGTTTCACGACCAAATTACATAACCCCCTCAATTGCACTGATGATGTCACCTAGTTTGGTCATGAAAGGTCTGCAAGAAAGCCACCCAGAGCAGAACAGAATAACAACTTTATTGTCACTTTAAATGCACATTAATCAGCATACATTAAAATGAAATTTTGTTTCATTCAGCTCTCAAAAAAAACACCATTATGCATATCCCCACCTACACACACATACATGACACAGAGAATCAAACAAAATTTCCTGACAGTGTGAACAATCAACTAGTGGAACAAATTGCCTTCAAAAGTTATGGGTGCTCCATCACTGGAGGTTTTTAAGAAGAGACTGGACAGCCCTTTGTCTGGAATGGTATAGGGTTTCCTGCCTGAGCAGGGGGTTGGACTAGATGACCTCCAAGGTCCCTTCCAACTCTGTTATTCTATGTCTCTGTGTCTTATGCATGTGTCCACTTATATATACCAAATGCCCCCCTGTCTGTCTGTCTGTCTGTCTGTCTCTCTCTCTCTCTCTGTCTCTCTCTCTCATCACTTTCACATTTAGACGGAAAGTGGAGATGAAAAAAAAAAACTCCAACTATTGCCTTTTGTAGCATAACTTTAAGAGTTTTGCTTGAATGGCTAAAACCAACCAAGCCAGCATCATGTTTCTACAAAGTGCATAAATAGGTCACTCTCCAGCAAGAGGCATTCAGAAGAATACTACCCTTAATCTGGAAGGAATTTGCCCTCTGATGCATGACTCAGCTGTCACAGATATATCAAAATAATGATATCATGTTTTAAAAGTTCATTTAATGTTTTTTTTTTTTTTTCCTAGTCTGGGCTTTTATGCCCAAGACCAGGGGTCTTCAAACTTGGCCCTTTGATGACTTGTGGACTTCAACTCCCAGAATTCCTCTACTTTGGACTCTAAAACTCCTTCTTGGACTGCAGTAACTTCTTGTTCCTCCAGGTAGTCATTCACATCTCAACAACTACGGAATCTCCTGTTCCAGGAGACCATCAATATTTTTGACTTCTGATTCCAACCGTCCCCAAATTTCTCTGCGGTGCCCAAGTTTATTTAACTGCAATTCATTTGTCCCTCTCTTGAGCTATCCCATGTCGAATTGTCCCATGGCGAGTTGGCCAGAGTGAGACAACTGGGGCGAGTCAGCTGGGGCAAGACGGCCAAGACTGAGGTGTCCTAGACCCATTCAGAATGCCTAGGTAGATTCTCCATGAAAGGGTCCCTTCGTCTCCTCCACCTTCCTTGTCAACACAGTTGTCTCATTCCCAACCTCAACAGACTATTATGACTTCGGCATGTTTCCTCCCTTCCATCTCTAAGTTTGGTGAATTTCATCCTTTGCCTTTTGTCCTTCTCTCTAGAATTCTTGGCATTCTCCTTGCTTGCTAGAGCCACGTTAAGGGTCCTTTGGTCCACTCTGCGATCCACAAAAGGACTGAAAATGTTCTTCAAAGAGTGAAAATGAGCTAAGATCGGATTCTGCAATCAAGCACAACAAAAGGATCTCTTTGTCCGCGGAGAAAGCCTCTGATTTCACCAATTTATTTCTGTAAGCTATTAATTTCCAGATGATTAGGGATGCTGTCAGTGTGTAGCAATGTGCAAACCATTTTCAGATGGAGCTGTTATATTCTCCTTTTTAAAAGGTATTTATTTGTTACATGCCGGTCTCATCCATGCTCTCAGGAGCTCAGGTTTATTGCATCTTCAGAACATACTGCCCGTTGCATCTTAAGAGCGATACTGTGATTATTCTTAATGCAAAACACATCTCTGTTTCATTGGGAATCATCACCATCACTTACTTTTTGATAGCCTGTAAACCTCCAAAAAGGTTTATACAGTTCCGTAAGCATGTCTAGGCTAGGTCTGTTTATGACCATGTTGCTATTTTTCTTTAACCAGAGTTTTTTGAGTAACCTGCAATTCGCTGCATTCATCTAATACCATAAATATCAATCATGGTTTTTATCATTCATAAGGGCTAGGAGCACTCAGGACATAATAGTCTCTGAGCTTTGTCACTGTCATGGGCAAACAAATCAGCACCGTTTGATTAAAAACCGAATCTGCTCTTTGAGTCAAAAGTTTTCATCATCAAAATGCAATCCTATCCAGGGACGGAACCATATTCCTCTTGATGTTCCCTTACGTCTTGCGATTAGCTCAGCAGCTACTCTGTGAAAGTTCACCATCATGTTGCATTTTCATTTGCTAAAAGGAAAACATCGGAAATTCTTGAAGCTTTCCCGTGTCTTTTGTGATTTTTTTCTTTGTCCTTTATGACCTTCCTCCGAAAAGAAGTTTCAGAATTATGAGCCGTTCATTTGTCAATTTATCTGTGTGCATCAGTCAGGTAGCTCCCAGCCAGGCAAGGAGTAGGAGTCAAGCAGGGAACTAGCCTTGAGTCCTTGCACAGCTACAAGAAACATGAAACTTTGGGGCTCAGTTGTAAGCCGAGGACTACCTATATCAGGGGTGTCAAACTCAATTTCACTGAGGGCCACATCAGCATTGCAGTTGCCCTGGGGGTGGGTGGGTGGGGGTGGCCAGAGTGGGTGCAGCCTACTGGGTGGGCGTGGATGGAGTGGGTGTGGCCTACTGGCTGGGCATGCCCAGTTCTACATCATTCGCGTCAAGGGTGCCTATGGGGGCCTGGGCAGGAGTGGGACAGATCTGAAGGTCTCCGGCAGAAGGGGGTGGGACTAGGGCAAGTGCCAAGGCATGGTCCACCGGGGCAAGTGCCAAGATGGCCACCACAAAATTGTACAGTGGCTCCCAGCCGGCCAGGGCCAGGGCCAGGGCCAAGGCAGCGGGGGCCGTTTCCTCACTGTTTCCAGGATGGCTTCGCGGGCCACATGAAACCACTTCGCATCTGGCTCCCAGGCCTTGTGTTTGACATGTCTGATCTATATTGTTAATTTGCTACAGGTCTCCGTTTTGATAAGAGAAGTTGTAGTTGGCACTGATTCTCCTGGCAATTTTTAAAGAATGTGGGTGGGAACTGTGACCTAAATACACAGGCCATTTTGGTTTCTCCTTCCCCAGCTGTCCCGCCCAAGAATTTCTGAGAAGACTGAGTCACAGCTTAATTCACCTGAAAACCCAATTCCCACCCTCCATGGTCTCCTTTCCTTGCAGGTTTCCTGCCTGAACAGGTGGATTTTCACACTGTGGTGAGGGCTTCTGTAAGTTGGGTATCAAATTGGGAAACCCAAACCTTCTCTTTGAGTGTGAAAGTTTGGTGGGGAGCAGGGCTTGGCAGAGGTCCTCTTGGTTCGGAAGGGGTGTGTGTTTGTGTGGGTATGTGGTGTATGTGTGTGATATCTTTAAAAGGAGCCAGTCCAAATTTTTTCAGTGTAAAGGGCAATCTAGGAGACCTGGTCTGTGCCCATTCTTGTTCTGCTCCTTCAAAGGCATCTGTTTTGTTTTGTTTTCCCTGGTCCTTAGCAACCCTGCTTGCATTCTCATCTGTCATCTCTTCACTGTCTCTATCGCCATGGAAGGGGAACTTGACTGAATGAGGACTGGCAAAAACAGACTGAAGCAAAACTTGGCTGTCCAGATCCTTTTCACACAACTCTCTATTCAGCCCGGAGTGGCCCTTAGTGCACAAATAGAATGGAGTGGAGTGGAATGGAATGGAATGGAATAAAATAGAAATAGAATAGAATAGAATAGAATAGAATAGAATAGAATAGAATAGAATAGAATAGAATAGAATAACAATTGATAGAATCGAATAGAAGAATGGAACAAGATGTTTACAAGATGTGGAATGGAATAGAATAGAATAGAACAGAACAGAACAGAACAGAACAGAATAGAACAGAACAGAATAGAATAGAATAACAATTGATAGAATTGAATAGAAGAATGGAACAAGATGTTTACAAGATGTGGAATGGAATAGAATAGAATAGAATAGAATAGAATAGAATAGAATAGAATAGAATAGAATAGAATGAGCACCAAGGACCTCCCATTTCAACCCTGAACTATAAATATTCCCCTTTATTGGTAGTAGGATTTACTAAACAACAACAAAAGTTCTACAGCCTGATTTTTTTAAAAATCCCTGCTCTAGAAGATTAGCCCTTTGCATTCCCCTCCCCCCCTTTTTTTTTTGAACCTAGAAATTCCAATGCTAATTTCAGGTGGGAATACGAAGTGCTTCCATATTTCATGCTGGCCAGTCAAGCCATATCCTTTAAATCAATGTTTCTCAATCTCGGCCTCTTTAAAGTAGGTGGAGTTCTGAGAATTGAATTCCACCCTATTTCTAGGTGCCAAAAGGTTGAGAAATATGGATCTGAATACTACTACACACTTCCCAACTCAATAGTCTACGGGCACTGGACCTGTTTAGATTTTTTAGCAATTTATCGTTGAAGGTTTGGGTGATAATTATCTTTTTAATTATGTTTCATAAAAGGGACAGGTTTCTCTTTAGCTTGTTTGGGATTTGGCCATTGGGAATGAGAGTTTCTCAGAATTTATTCACACCTGCAGGAAGGATCTTGTTGACTGCGATCAGGTCCCCAAATCCTTACAGCTTTCCCTGCCTATGTGCTCTTGGTTGGGGCCTTCCTTCCCATTATTGTCTTGCTTTCATTTTCTCTTTTGCCTTGCTCCATTTTCTCCCTTATCCGGCATCCGTTTTAACTCAGATCCTTCCTCCCAGTACAAAACAACTGGGAAAGGACTCTTCCATTCAACTCTGCCCTCCTTTCTTTTACACCAGTGGTTCTCCACCTGTGGGTCGGGACCCCATTTGGAGTCGAATGACCATTTCACGGGGGTCGCCAAACAACGCAGTCCGCCATTTTTTCCCCTTTTCCTTAGCTGTGCTACTCCCTTTTATTCTATTGGCTTTTGAAAGCCAATAGAGTAGACTCTCTTGAATAGAGTCTAATTCTATTGGCTTTCAAAAGCCAATAGGAATTGTCCAGGCTGTCTCTGCCTTGCTGAGCCCGCCAAAAGTCCCATTCTGCAAACGGTGCTGCACTAGTTGAGTAGTCCTCGACTTACGACCGGTTGGGGGTCGCGGCATTAAAAAGGTTGAGAAACACTGTTTTACACCTTCCCCAGACCTTTACGAATCCTTTCCTGCCCAGTTCTCTCTTGAGCCCTCTCTACCTTGCCCACTCCTCCAGCTTTGATGACTTCTCATCTCCGGCATTCCCAGGCCAGGGTGGGCTCCTTCCAGGCCTTCAGGCCAATATGACTTCCATCTATTTTAATCTGAAGAGCGGTCAATGGGAGAGACTCCCCCTCCCCTTTCTCCCCTCCCTCCCCCCCTCATCTAAAGCTACAGCCAGGCCCTGATTGAATTGCCTTGTGAACCTCCACCCCTCCCTTGCCCACCTCTGCTTCGTAGTCGCCCTTGGCCTTTCCCCACAATGTCCTTGGGACTCTTGTAAATTTCATTTTGAAAGCTGGCTGGGGGAAATCAGCTTCTGGCTGCTGCGTTTTACGGATGGAGCACTGAGGCTAGGAGTGAGGCAGTCGATGCCTCCCCCCGGGAGTCAAGTCAATGCATCACGTTTGCATCTGAAAGGCGGTTCTGTGAAATAAATGAGACTGATTTCCGAGGACATTTATTTGATTTGCCATGGGGAGGAGTGGGAGGAGGGGAAGCAAGACCCTTGCTCTCCGCCTGGCCCTGAAGAATGAGGCAGGGTTAACAGAAATCTAACAGAATAACAGAAGGGACCTTGAAGGTCACCTAGTCCAACTTCCTGCTCAATCAGGAGACCCTCTACCATTTCAGACAAATGGTTATCCAGTCTCTTCTGGAAAACTTCCAGGGATGGAGCATCCACAGCTTCTGAAGGCAGGCTGCTCCACTGATGAATTGTTCTTGATTAATGGGTTAACCCATGATTCTTCCATTTTTATTTTTTTTTTTGAACATCCTGGCGGATTGATCCAGGGCTAGAAGCTTTCAGATGTGGGCTGCCAAAATCTGGACATCCACCAGAAGGCAGAGCAGAAGTACAGAAAGATCACTTTTCCTGGAGTATCAAGCTAAGGAAGACTTTGTGGAATGGAATGGTGGATGGATGGGAGGAATGGAAGGATTGATGTCCCAAGAGCATGACATCAGGCACAAGAAATCAGGAACCAGGGTTATTCAAATGAGTACAAGTTTAGTCTTTGCAAGAATCTGAACTACTAATGGTCAAAGCAAATTGGCGGTAGATAAGAGTCAACGGAATTCAAGGAGGGCTGGGCTTAGGTCTCTTGTGGGCACGAAGGGACTCAAGACTAATGACACGTTTGACCCCTCGCTCAGGACCCTATACCATAACAGAATAATAGAGCTGGAAGGGACCTTGGAGGTCTTCTAGTCCAACCCCTTGTTCGAGCAGGAAACCCTATATCATTTCAGATAAGTGACTGTCCAATATCTTCTTGAAGACCTCCAGTGATGCAGCACCCACAACTTCTGGAGGCAAGTCGTTCCACTGGTTGATTGTCCTCACTGTCAGGAAATTTTTCCTTACTTCTAGGTTGCTTCTCTCCTTGATGAGTTTCCATCCATTGTTTCTTGTCCTGCCTTCAGGCGCTTTGGAGAAGAGGTGGACCCCCGTCTTCTTTGTGGCAACCCCTCAGATATGGAAACACTGCTATCATGTCATCCCTAGTCGGTCTTTTCACTAGACTAGACATACCCAATTCCTGCCACCATTCCTTATACGTTTTAGCCTCCAGTCTCCTGATCATCTTCGTTGCTCTTCTCTGCACTCTTTCTAGAATCACAAAATCTTTTTTATATCGTGGCAACCAAAACTGGATGCAATATTCCAAGTGTGGCCTTACCAGGGCATTATAAAGCTCTGGAGCTTTTGCATCTGGACTGGCAATATACATTAAAGCAAGAATAGTCTTTGATGGAAGGAGGAAAAGGCTTAATTGTTTTACTGAGCTTGAGGTGGTAACAGTAAGTCGGGTGCTAGCATCTCCAGCCAAAATAATTTTAAGCTGGGGAACTCACTGCCACCAGATGCATAGAGTACCAACTGAGGTGGCGGTTTAAATGGTGGAGATAAAATGAGTGAGGCTATTTAGTTTAGTGGGCTGTTTACAGAGGTGGCGTGATTTGAAAACCAAGTGCTCTTAAGCAACCTTGCCATGGCTGAATGTGAAGTTTCCAGATGTGTCACGTTGGCAGCTGTGTGACATTTTGCGCCTCCTAGAATTCCACAAAGAGGGAAGATGGAATCTTTCTCACATCCTCACCTCTTGGTGACTAAGTCTGTCTTGGAATAAAGGGAGGCTTAAAAATGAATGTAGCCTAGCCTGACCTTAAGAAATCAGCCTTCTTCTGAAAAATAGCCCAACTGGGCTTCCCCTGCAGCCCATTTTAGATTTGAGTTTTCATTTTGGTTTTGTTTTAAAGGCTGCTTTGACAATGCATTGTTATTGTGTTATTCTGGTTGAGTCTGAGGATCAGGACTTGGCAACTGTCTGCATTTATAGCTGCCTTCTATTAGGAAAAAAAACTTTAGTAAGAAAAACCATTCTATAATAAAATTGACACTCTTAACCCTTCCTTTTATCCTCCCTCCCCTTGTCCTTTTTTCTTTCATTCCTTCTCTCCCTCCTTCTCTTCCTTCCCTTCTTTATCCTTCCCTTCCCTTCTTCCTCCATCTCCCCTTCCTTCCTTCCTTCCTTCCTTCCTTCCTTCCTTCCTTCCTTCCTTCCTTCCTTCCTTCCTTCCTTCCTTCCTTCCTTCCTCTTTCTTTCTTTCTTTCTTTCTTTCTTTCTTTCTTTCTTTCTTTCTTTCTTTCTTTCTTTCTTTTTTTCTTCCCTCCCTCCCTCCCTGTTATGTATTCACATGCATTTCTTTATGCCCTCTTTCTCTCTTATAATTCTCATTTTCTCTCTTCCCCCCCCCCCCATGCTCCTTTTCTCTTACTCTCTCCCAGTTCATTCCCACGTTAAGCCAATGGCTTCCCACCCTCCCTCTTTTGACTTCACTCAGCGTGGGGTTGAAATGGGTTGCCAGATCTTTTCAATTTAATCTAGTTTATAGAACTAAATGTGTGTATCTTTTTAAATGGTTGCTGGCTGTCTTATTCGCTTTATTTATTTATTTTACAGAATGCATACGCCAATCACTCCTAAATGGCTCTGGGTAGCTTACAACATAAATAGGTAAACTTTTAAAAAGCAGCAGAACAAATCCCCAGAAACTAAAACCGGCAGCCTAATTCCCTTAAAAGGTTAACTAAAACCTAAAAAACATACCTGAAATTGTAAATATATATATATATATATATATATATATAGGTCTTTGGTTGTTCGGGTTTTCTCCCGCGTAAAATTGGAAGATGATGAATGAGACTTCATCGAAACGTCGCCAAGACACTTCCAATTTTACGCGGGAGAAAACCCGAACAACCAAAGACCTACATACAAACACCCGCGAAAACCTCAGAAAACACACATACACACACACACACACACACACACACACACACACACATATATATATATACACACACACACACACACACACACACACACATATATATATATATATATCGCTCACTTTTACAATGCTCCTGAATGTCTGATGAACATTTTATTGGAAAAATAATTGAAATAATAACAATGGTTTATTATTAGTGGATCCTGCACTGAGCAAGAGTTTGATTAGGTAGCTGAGATACCTTCAACCTCTCTGATTCTGTAATTCTAATAACAATAACAGGCTGGCTGGGGAATTCTGGGAGTTGAAGTCCACCTGTCTTAAAGTCGCCAAGGGAGAAAATCACTGCTACAGCTCATTTCCCCGTTTATTAAATTTCTTCTTCATTTACTACTCCCAAAAATAAATTCAGGATTTTGTGCTGCCCCAGCCCAGTAAGAATAAGAAAAGGAGGGTCATTGTAAGCGGGAAGCCACTTTCGTAACTTGGAAAATGCAACCCATCTTTGCGCACAAAGAGAGCAATTGCTTAAACCTTTGTCAGATCAGACTGAATTAAAGATGCATAACAAATTCTTCTTCTTCTTCTTCTTCTTCTTCTTCTTCTTCTTCTTCTTCTTCTTCTTCTTCTTCTTCTTCTTCTTCTTCTTCTTCTTCTTCTTCTTCTTCTCCTCCTCCTTCTCCTTCTCCTTCTTCTTTCTTTCTTCTTTCTTCTCTCTATTTTATTTTCATTTCTTGCCCTGGATGGAAACAGCATCACACAAATTTGAGATCCTTGGGTAAACATAGGAAGAATTGGTGGGGTGGAGGACACATTTTCTCATGCCCTCATAAATATCCTGGCAATCTTAGACTCGCCCAGGTCCCTTCTGTGAAAATGATCCGCCTTGAGCCAAGAATCCAACTTTTGATGTAGGAATTGTTGTTCTATCCCACAGACTTAAAAAGAAGAATAGGGCCGTAGAGTTGACATCAATCAAGGTTGAGTCTAGGGAAGGATAAGGATAGAATATCAGAGAGGTGACCAAGCGTAGCACATGATTCAAATCAAGTCCACATTGATTAATTGGGTTCAGTTGGAGTTTTCTGGATCATAACAACTGTTGTTCTCCCTCACAGGAGATCAACGGCCTTTGAAAGAGAAGTTCTCATCTTCCATGCTGCCCCCACCAAAGTATGCGGCAACATCAAGACAATCACGTTGTATGAACTCTTAAAGGCTGGGTGGATTTTAGACAAACTCAATTTGCTCAAGATGGCTCAAAGAGTGATTACACAACAATGTTTTCTTCTTCATCAAGGGGTCTTCTAACGCACAGATGCACAGCCACAGTCTTGCCTGCAATCAAAGCCATGTTTTGACATATGGAGAAAATGGGTGGGGTTTTTTTCCCCCTCCATAAAACTGGGTTATGGGAAAGACAGTGACAGGGAAATACTTTTGAAAGATTGAGTTGTTGCCCAGTCTCCCAATGTAGAAACGTAGAGGCAACACATACACACACATATACACACAGAGAGGGAGAGACAAAGAAAGAAAGAGAGAGAGAGAGAGAGAGAGAGAGAGAAAGAGGGAGAGAACGAAAGAGTGAATGAGAGACAGAGACAAAGAGACCAAGACTGAGACAGGGAGAAAGGAAAAAAGAGAGCGAGAGAAAATTAGAAAGAGAGAGAGAGAAAGAGTAAGAGATTATCTGAAAAAAATTGGACGAACGTTGGAATCTTATGCACGAGATAACCTAAATATGAATACAGTGGATCTTTCAGAACCCTTAGCAGAACTGATATTCACATCCTTCAGCCCCAGCTCCAAAGTTTCCAGTTTTCTCTTACCCCCTTTCCATCACTTCTTCCCTCTCCCCACCCCCCACCCCTCTGGTTTGAAAGCTTTTCTAATAGGTAACACTATCTGAAATAAGTGCGTCTGACGTTCAATGGGTGAAGCATAATGAACAACAGAAGTGAAATTTCTGCCTTTCGCCCCCATACATGTGCCACGGTTTTTATAGAGAGCAAGGGGCAGAAGTGACGGCACAGACCTACGGGTGTGCAGGATGTGCGCTGCAGGTTTTATCTCTCTGCGTGTGCCTGCGTGTTGGTATGTGTGTGGGAGAAAGAGAGTTTGGCAAAAAGGTGAAGAGACCTTGAGGAAGGAGTGGTTGGTGATGGTTGGTGCTTTGGGATGGGGGGAAAAAAATGGTCTCCAGTCTTTCCAATGAGGTTGCCCTGCAGATGAACTCAATTAGGAGATGAAATTGATCTTCTTCTGTGTTTAGATCCTGCCGTGTTTGGTAGTTTAATGGTATCTGTTTACACCCAAACAGAGGAGACTGGAGAGGAAGAAGGCCTAAGAGAGAGAAGGAGGGGTGTTTGAAGAAGAAAAAGAACAAATGTCTATGGAGATGCTCAGTCTATCCAGGTCCTGGTTATCCCAAAGGAGCTTTTTTCAGGAGGCAATTGGACTGTCTTGTTTTTCTGTGAAGACGTTTCGCTTCTCATCCCAGAAGCTTCTTCAGCTCTGACTGGATGGTGGATGATGGTCATTGACCAGCTGTCTGCGAGGAATAGAAATCCTTCCCTTCCCCACCGTCCAGCGATTGCAACAATTGAATCAGCACAAAGATATCTTCAAGAGAAATGCAAAAGAAATTCTCAAGCCTACTGAGAAAAAAATATATATAGGAAAACAGAAGCCTTTTTTCCCAGGGAAAGAAAACTTTAGAAGCATTCATCAAAAATATCCAGACTCACATCCAGACTCGGCATTATGTAAACAGAAAAACAGTAAACATATTTATCGATGTCTATTTCTATATGCAGTTCCCATCGCAGACATCTTTGGAGTACCGTGCTGCAAAATTCAAAAAGTGTTCTTTCTTTCTTTTTCTTTTTCTTTTAAAAAAGAATAGTTTTATTAAGATTATAATTGCAATAGTGAAAACTAACATAAGAAAGAAAGAAAGAAAAAAGAAAAAGAAAGAAGGAAGGAAAGAAAGAAAGAAAGAAAGAACAATAGAAACAGCAAAAAGTATAAAGGAAAAGAAATTAAAAAACAGAATAGAAGGAAAGAAAAAAGAAAGAAAAATAAAAACAGAGTAAAGAAAAAGAAAAGTCATTGTACCAGATCATTTTCTTCCCCCCTTTTTTTGCTCCCATCTTCCATTTTTTTTGTAAATTGTCCTTCCCCCCCCCTCTCTGAATAACAGATCTTCTAGTCCAACCCTTTGCTCAAGGCAGGAATACCATATCATACCAGTGGACAAATAGCTGTCCAATGTGTTCTTAAAAACTTTCAGTGTTGGAGCACCTACAACTTCTGGAGGCAAGGAGTTCCGCTGATTAATTGTTCTCACTGTCAGGAAATTTCTCCTTAGTTCTAGATTGGTTCTCTCTTTCTTTAGTTTACATCTCCTCCTCCTCCTCCTCCTCCTCCTCCTCCTCCTCCTCCTCCTCCTCCTCCTCCTCCACCTCCTCCTCCTCCTTCTTCTTCTTCTCTCTCTCTCTCTCTCTCTCTCTCTCTCTCTCTCTCTCATTTTAAAGCCTGTTTCCATCATGTTCCTCCCAGCTATTTGAATGGGGGGGGAGTTACTTCCTTTCCCTTCCCTGCAGATAAATCTCCTTCCTTCTGGCTGATGAACTTGGTTGCCTCCAGAGACTCTGCTGGTGGAACACTTCCTACCTTGCCTGAACTTTCAAACTTTACCCTGCCGCTCCAGTGGAGGGGTGATGCTCAGCACTCCATCAACAAGTGGTACATATGAAAAACAGATAAAAAACACGCACGCAGACATCCCTCTGAGCCTCCCTATTGCAAATGTATTTAGCAGCCCTCAGCAGCTGCTTGTCCTTTCCCCCCCTCCCCTTTTTTTTCTTGTTGCTGTTGCTGTTGAAATTTGCAACTGTACATGAGCCCTGGCAGAGATTTGACCGAAGATGAGTGTCGCCAAGGCAAAGAAGCCATCTGCTTGACGGCTTGATCAAGTTACGGTAATGATTTGCCCAGAATTCAACAGTGACAGTTTCTCTTTACAGATGGAAATTGCTCTGTCTGTCTCTCTGAGATTCCATAGTTCAGTTGTTTCTTTCCAGTTTCCATGCAGCTCCTGTTCATCTCACTCCTAACGTAACTTGTCAAAAACTCAGCTGCCCAACTCTGACCTTGCCTCTAAGACGTGGCCATCCCGTGGTGCGCTGATCTGACTTATCTCCTGACTTTTGCGCTGGAACATAACATGGTGCTTGTTCTCTCTAATTTTCTAGGCCACAGGGAAGTCCGCAATCCCGTAGTATCCTAGGCTTGGAAGAGGTCCTGCGGTGTTCTGGTCCAATCCTCAAACCTTCTCAGACAAAAGGCTGTCTCAGCTTGGTCTGAAAACTTCCAAGGATGGATCTTCCACGCCGTTGAAAAATAAATCTATGAATCTATCGATCTATCAATCTACTAGACAACCCATGACCTGCTGGATCGTCTTTTCAGTTGTGTCATTGTTTCAGAGACATTGAAGCAACAGTTGGATCAAAGTCTCCCTCCATATCTCCTTCTCTCTCTCTCTCTCTCTCTCTCTCTCTCTCTCTCTCTCTCCCTCCCTCCCTCCCTCCCTCCCTCCCTCTCTCTCTCTCTCTCTATATATATATATATATATATATACACACACACGTCTCCCTCTCTGTGTATCTATCTATCTGCCTATCATCTATCTATCTATCTATCTATCTATCTATCTATCTATCTATCTATCTATCTATCTATCTATCTATCTCTATCTCTATCATCTCTCTATCCCAGGATCCAAACAAACAATCCAACAAACAAATGGAATAGAATATCAAAATAATTATAATGCAGAGATATACATTCTTTTTAAAAGAGAAAGAAACAATGACAAAAGTGCTTTAAAAATGTTCCAGTGGGGGGGGGAAACCTCCAAATATAGTATATCATTATAACAGTTACCCCCTAGTCGTCTATGCCAACTTCTCCCTTGCAAATCAGAAACCTAGAGCCCCAAGGTAGTGTGTGCCTGTAGCTGTTTCCTTTCCAAATGGATGGCAATGTCAACTGCCATCTCCACTGGTCCCGTGACTTGACGTTCCTCTTAAGGCAGTGGTTCTCAACCTGTGGGTCGGGACCCCATTTGGGGTCGAATGACCATTTCACGGGGGTCGCCAAACAACACAGTCCGCCATGTTTTCCCCCTTTTCCTTAGCTGTGCTACTCCCTTTTATTCTATTGGCTTTTGAAAGCCAATAGAATAGACTTTCTTGAATAGAGTCTAATTCTATTGGCTTTCAAAAGCCAGTAGGAATTGTCCAGGCTGTCTCTGCCCTGCTGAGCCCACCAAAAGTCCCATTCTGCAAACAGTGCTGCACCAGTTGAGTAGTCCTTGACTTACGACCGGTTGGGGGTCGCAGCATTAAAAAGGTTGAGAACCACTGTCTTAAGGAAATGCAGAAGAAACCCCCCCCCAACCTTTTTATGAATAGAAACACCTCCTGGTTCCCTCAGCTGCTATACTGACTCTAGGCTGGCTCCCATCGGTTGGAATTTCCTGCCAGTGCCACGGTGTGGTTTTTTGACTGCTCTGGAGCTGCAGAGATGTGCTTTAATCTTGAGCCAGCTGGAACCATGCGTTACAGCAGCTCCTTTGCCAGACATCTCACCAGCAAGGAGAATGGCCCTCCCTATTCTGCCTCCCTTCCCGCCCTCCCCCCACTCCTTCAAAGCTGGGCTCTGCGTTAAATAAAATGTAATCCCTCTGTTCTTCCTTTCTTCCAGAAAGGAAAAATATTGTGGGTTACCCCAAAACGTCCGGAGTTCTGGAGGCAGCAGGGTGGCTGAACCTAAAAAGGGGTCTTCCTTGGACTCAGCACTGGATAAAGCATGGGATAACTTAAGAGGATGGCTTAAGGATATGCTTGAGGAGGAGCGGTTGAAAGATCTTGAGATGTTTGCTTTGGAGAAATGAAGGCCAATGTTCATGTTCATAAAAAGTACCCTAGAGAAGATCATAGACTCACAGGGCTGGATGGGATCCTGAAGGTCTTCTAGTCTAGGCAGGAGTGCTTATATCATTTTGGACAAATAGTTGACCAATCTTGTCTTGAAAGCCTCCAATGATGGAGCACCCACAACTTCTGGAGGCAAGCGGTTCCATTGCTTAATAATTTTCATTGTCAGGAAATTCCTCCTTATTCCAGGTTGGACCTCCCTCCGAGGAACGTCCAGGTTGATTCTCTCCTTGATTAGTTTCCATCCATTGTTTCTTGTCCTGAGCTCTGGTGCTTGGAGAATAAATTGACCCCTCCCTCTTCCCTATGACAGACCTTCAAGTATTGATCAGGAACTTTTTCCGTTGCTGCGGCAGCTAGATCTAGAAACCATACGGACTCCTGAAAGCTATTTAGATTTGATTTAAGATGTTTCTTGACTGTAGGATCGGTTCAACAGCACAACAGATTCCTTATGGAGGTTGTGGATTCTCCACCTCTGAAGGCTTTCAAGAAATGGTGGGACCACCAGTTCTCAAGACTAGATTACAGATGATTGATGTGGCAGAGATTGTAAATGATTCTTGGGGTTACTTCAAACTCCATAGTTCTGGGATTGTGTGATTCTATAAAGAACCACGCAGGCTAAGTCAAAGGCTGTCAAATTCACAGGCACACCTCTTTCCATCTTCCTAGTGAGTCTTTGTACATAGGTAGGAAGACACCTCACCCAACTGGGGTTCCCCAGCAGTGAGTACGGAAAGGCATAGCGCTTTCAAAGCTGGGGGTGATTCAGAAAATTCAGCCTCTTTCTGGAGACAACTTGGAGGTCGGTCTGACGTTTGGTCTACCTCAGTGTTTCCCAAACTTGACAATTTTAAGGCATGTGGACTTCAACTCCCAGAATTCAACAGCCAGAGTTGCTGGCTGTGGAATTCTGGGAGTTGAAGTCCTCATGCCTTAAAATTGTCAAGTTTGGGAAACACTGGTCTACCTTAAGGTGACAGCTTGAAAGCGCTCAAGTCGTTCCCCCTTGGATTGAGCTGTAGCTTCTGTTGTTGTTGTCCTGAATCCAGCCAGACAACTTTGAACTATGACCTGTTAATGTTTTGGCAGCTCAAGGGCCACCAGGTGAAGGAGAACAGTTCGAACAAGTGTTTTATGACAGTCATTCTCCTGCTCGGAAAGGCTAGGATTGAGAAATATCGGAGGTCACATTTAGAGAAGGTGTCAATTTCCTTCCTCAGGTGTTTTCCTCCAAAATATCCTTCTGAAGCAGTTGGCTGTCCACGAGGTAGAGTCCTCTGTTTGAGGGGAATTTCCCTAGCAGCAAATCTACCCAGCTTTACTTCTGCATGGCAGGTCCAGAAGATCATGAGAAGATCAGAGGTCGTCAGCTTGATCTCATTCTCTGACCCTATTTTGGAAGACGGTAGATCAGGCCTTCGTAAATGTGTGGAAGCACAAGGAGTTTTGGTCTCTGTTGTTCTACAAAAGAGGAATAGGGGTAATACTTGACTTACCACCAGTTGGTGGGATTCAGCCAGTTCACCAACTTGTCATATTTACAGTATAAGGACATCTCAAAATTCAGCAGGGAACAACCTCTCTCGCCTCCTGTTTGGACCTTAAAATCCTGTGGTTTCCCCCCCCCCTTTCCACCTACATAGGGTGACTTTCTTAGCTGAACCCCAAGTTCAAGAGAGTTATGGTCTTCATAATTTGTTTTATAAAAATAGCAAGAGCCTTGATCCTTGGACTGCAGTACAAAATCATGTTGGCCACATTGCTATTAGAATCGGGGGCAGATGTCTATTTTTAAGGG